CATATGAAGGATTGGGCCCAATTTGGAAAATTGGGCCATAGTTGGGGCCTAGATGGTTGTATGATGTTGGGGCCCCTAGAATCAGACATGTTAGACTGGATTGGACAATTGGGCCTTAAGGGAAGTCCATGTAGAGGTTTGGGCCCAATTTGGAAAATTAATCCATATGTTGGGCTTTGATCCCTAGTTGACCTTGGGCCTATGGATTGGGCCTTGGGCTTAGGTAAGCCAAGTTAGGGGTAATGTAGTAATTGTCCAAAGAATGTATTTATAGTTATGTGTTAGAACCCAATTTTTAATTGGGTGTTATTTTGGTGTTAATAGTTCGGGAATTTTGTCATCCAGCAGTTGGGGTTAAGTCTGCGGGACTTCAGCAGTGTGGGATTGTGTCTACGGGACTTCAGCAGTGTGAGGTGAGTTTCCTTCCAGTAGGAACGGGTCTAAGGCCACAATGCCAGCCCGTTTAGTAGCAGTAGTTTCCGGACTTTGGTCCGATGCAGTTGTTAGTTTGTTTGATGCCTTCGTGGCTCAGACATGATTTATGTGTTAAGTGTTATGGGCTACGGCCTGACGTAGTATGCAGTATGTGAGTTTATGATCATGTGTATTATGCTATTTGATATGTGTTTTTTCTATGCTATGCTATGCCCAGTTAGTTCCGGACTTCGGTCCGATGTAGTTAGTTCCGGACTTCAGTCCGATGCAGGGGACAAGGTCCCAGTTAGTTCCGGACTTCGGTCCGATGCAGTTAGTTCCGGACTTCGGTCCCATGCAGGGGACAAGGTCCCAGTCAGTTCCGGACTTCGGTCCGATGCAGTTAGTTCCGGACTTCGGTCCGATGCAGGGGACAAGGTCCCAGTCAGTTCCAGACTTCGGTCCGATGCAGTTTCCGGGCTTTGGCCCGATGCAGTGGGCAAGGCCCAATATGTGTTTATATGTTATTGTATGGTATGTGGTAGTTTGGGGGAGCTCACTAAGCTTCGTGCTTACAGTTTCAGTTTTGGTTTCAGGTACTCAGTTTTCAAAAGAGGAGCTCGGGAAGATTTCAGTGCACACACCATTTGTTCAGCCTGGGATATTTATACTCTGATATGTTTGACAATTGTTATGATATTTTGACATACATTGTTTATGATTCTTATATGACATTGATGAATATGGTTTTATTACTGATTTAAAACGAAATTTTCAGGCTGTGTTTTTGGGATGTTACAATATGCACTTTTTGGTCCATTTGATACTTAAAGTCTAGATCTTGGTGGTTTGAACTATTCTAATGGATAAAGTTGGAAACTTTATCCATTATGGAGCTATTAGGATCCATAAAAATATGATCTTGATCCTTCTATTCCTTCCATGAAAGTGTCATGATGTCTTAATGGACTAATAAGTTAAGGTTTTGCATTTTGGACCTTTTCTAGACATGGAAAGTCATAAAGGTGGAAACTTTATGACTTAGAATGATGTTGTGGGACTAGACCTAAGTGTTGGATGTAAGGACTTAAGAGATTAAGCACTTAATGGAAAAGTATCATTCGGCCGAGTACGTTAGGCATACAACTTACATTAGTAGTATCTATCAAAAGCTCACCCCATGCAACATATGATGCATAAAACTGATCACCTCTTGAGAATTCACCTCTTGTCTTGAAACCCAACAATTTCCTATGATTAGGGAAGTACAAATTTGTCTAGTTGATCGATTTTTGAATAGCCTTACATTCAATTGAAAATTAACAAACTTAATAATTAATTTGGAAAATAATGAGAATATTTAATCAAACTTAAAGTCTAAACAATTTCTTTGAAATTTATGACATATAATACTTGATAATTTCAAGTTACTCATTTTTGAATTGAAACAATAATAAATGATGGCCATTGAGAATGAATAAGACTTCGGTCAGTTAAAAGCTAGCTACTTTTAAATTTACTCATTTTATGATAAATGAAAAAAAGACCTAGTATAAGTTAATTGTTGAGCGAAAATATATATCCATAAATATTAACTCAAAATTATATTTACTCTAAACATCAACATAATTCTTAACACCACCTAATATAAAAATGTAAAATGAAACTTTCATAAGATGGTTAATGGTTTAACTAAAGTCCCTTTTAAGAAAAAGTATACATTCCAATAATTACAATTTCGATTCCGAGATGAGTCGAATTTTACAAAATACATATTCCAACAACTTAAATTTGCAAGCTTTCTGATTGAAACTCTAAAATATTCTTAATTTAGGAAGATAGTAGCAATAAAAGTTTTAGAAAGTATCAAAAAACTCAACTGTGCTACCACTTAGTATTGTAATATTGTACCACAAACTTAACTCTGAAAAATATACCAGCCGTAGAAGAAAACATAATGAATTTAAAAGGTTGATTGCCCCTTCCACCTGCACACAAACAACAACTCAACTATAAACTAAAAATAAAATGACTTTACAACTTCATAAAAGTCTTTAACTACTTAAAACACCCCTTACCCAAAGTATCAGTTTAATCTCCTACCACTCCAACCTAGATCTTCACCACCACACCATCTATAAATCAATCAACATCAAATTAACTTAAAATACAAACATATATAACCAAAACCTCATAGTTGAGTCCAACCAAAAGTAAAAAAGATCATTACTCTTTGGAGCAATATGTGGACCAGTTGGTGTGGGCGACAAATGAAAAAAAAAACGTGTGGGTTGTCGTCAGTCGACAATCGACTTACATAAATTCAATGGCCATAGAAAATGAAGAAAAAGGAGAGAGATTGGAAAGGACCAGAGGTCAACTACCGGTAGCGTTTGGGCAAATCCGACTTCCTTACACCGGTGATGTCCACGAACACCTGTCATTCTCCTCTGTCGTAGTCTATAAAGTCTAGTAGGCTCTTGGTATTCGTCTATTCGGAGCGTTGCTTCAATCAACCATAAAACACTTCAATCAATCTAAGGATTAAATCAGCAGAAACCCCTTCGTGTATTCCTTCGAACATCAAAGACGAAAAAGGAAGAACATGAGAAGTAGAGAAAGATGGTTGATTGGAAGAGGGAGGCGGTGAAGATCACTTCCAGTTCCCGATCAAAAGAGATGACATGTATGTGTAAAGCGCCGATTGACTTACGCATGTGAGAACAAAGGGCCGAAAAACCGAAACTGTTGTATATTAATAAAATAGTAATGATGGGTAATATAGAATAACCAAGAAGTATACTTGTAACCAACAATTACACTAAATACATTCCACACAAATTTCTAAACTAATTCACCTTTATACATTTTAATCGTAAACCTGTAATAAAGTTAATATATTTTTCACTCTTTCTAACTGTAGCACCAATACATCTCCAAACTTCCACATACCTAACCTAGGATTTTGTCTGGTCCGCCGCTACGCATATATTATACATAGACACGTAGTGAATACTGAATATGCCCAACAACCCAACAATGGCGAAACAAGAAGAAGAAGTGATTCTGCTGAATTTATGGGCAAGCATGTATGGGATGAGGGTCAGGATCGCACTTGCTGAGAAGGGTGTTTCATACGAATACAGAGAAGAGGATTTGAGGAACAAAAGCCAGCTTCTCTTGGAGATGAACCCGGTTCACAAGAAGGTTCCGGTTCTCATCCACAACGGCAAACCAATATGCGAGTCAAGCATCATTGTTGAATATATCGATGAAGTCTGGAAAGACAAAGCTCCATTGTTTCCTTCTGATACTTACGACAAAGCTCGTGCGAGGTTTTGGGGTGACTTCATTGATAAGAAGGTAACTTTTGACCTTTCTTGATTCTTTTTATCTACTACTAATATTATATTTACCAGGGTTTATAGTTAACGTTTTGATTCCCTCCTTCAAGACTATTGCAAACAATTTAATTTTGGTCCTCCTAAATCTTTTGAACGTGTGTTTTGATTTAATTTTCAACCCAGATCTACATATTTCATTATAAAACAATTTCAGAAATCCTATGGTGATTTCCAGTGATTGAAAAAATCACAAGATGGCCATTAATTACTCATGAAGAATGTTTTGGGTGTTTTCTTGTTTTGATTTGGGTGTAACTTTGCATCTGGGATTCTTTCTTTCTTTCTTTCTTGTGACGAATCTTGAATCCATGACTACATATTCAAGAAATTCACTTCGTACCTGTTTTGATGCAACTTCCTGTATATGAAACAAATCAATGTTTGTTCAAATCTTGTATTCAAGGGAAATGGTCTGAGATTATCGAATCTTTTCTCTAACATCGTATAAGGAAATGCAGGTATTCCAAATTGGGAGGAAGTTGTACACAACAATAGGGGAAGAACATGAGGCAGCAAGGAAAGAGTTCATGGATTCCCTTAAACTGATTGAAGGAGAGCTTGGAGACAAGCCTTACTTTGGAGGTGAGAGTTTCGGGTACCTTGATGTGTCTTTGATCCCATTTCATTCATGGTTTCATTCCTATGAAACATATGGGAAATTGAACATACAACAAGACTTCCCAAAATTGATTGCTTGGGGTAAAAGGTGCTTTCAGAACAAGGAGAGTGTGTCCAACGCGCTTCCTGATTCGCTAAAGGTCCTTGCTTTTGTTCAATTCTTGAGGAAAAGATTTGGACTCGATGAATAGAACTTTTATGTATCAAAGCCAATGTTGTTTTGTTCAACACGTGTATCGGATCTGTGCTGTTGCTATTTTCCTTTTCTTTGTCATAAAAAAAACACTTGGATGTGTTTGTCACATATAAATAAAGAAAGTTGTGTTTTTAGATGCATTTCTTGAATCGATTAAAAACGAGCGGATGTTGGGGATGACGCTGTTCTTCACATGTTTTTTTAAAAAAATTTAGTTTTTGTATGCAGCTACACCGCTACACCACCAATGTTTGCATCAAGAACGTTGTTCCAGTTTGTTCGAATTGAATTTACATAAAGAAAAATAAGAAAAATGATACAGATATGAACGTTGTTCCAGTTTGTTGTGAAGCTATCATTAACTTTCTAATAAAAAATATCTGATAATCAACAACAAATTCAGCTCTTTTAATTAGAGATAACAAAACATGTATAAGAACGGGTTAAAACAACTATTTGCATCCACGTTATAATTTATGTCCAACTCATCAGATTAGTTCTTTTAGATATAAGCAGAATACTATATGTATATAGAACTAAAAAACCAAACGTACATTTGACCTTTTTTTTATACTGCATCATCCCAAGAACAAAATCTTTATTTAAATATAAACTAAAACAACTTACAAATATAGCAACATTTCAACCTACTTTTCTTTCTTTTTCTCACAGTAGTTTAAGTTTTAAAGGATGCAAAAGTCCCTGCCCAGTGTGTGTGTGTGTGTGTGTGATGGAAGAATTACAGCATCTAATGAAGAGTTAGTTGATTTACTGATATTTTTTAACTGCAACAACCACCAACTTGAGAAGCAGAGCCATCTCTTCCTCCTGAAGGCCCCGGATTGCCACCACATCCAACTTTAATTCCAAAAGACTGCCAATACGCAATTTAAAATAAAAAAATAAAATACACACCTTAATTTAGCTCACAAATATATTTGGAAACGATAACTTTATATAGGATAACAAAATCGGACTTGCCTCATTTGATACATCAAAAATTCCATCCTGAATCTTCTTGTAGATAGTTCCAGCAGTGTTGATGAACGCCTGCGACAGAAGTCAATATTGAAAAACTAGACAAAACTTCTAGCAAATGTTAGAATGTTCTAGAATGATTTCAGAATGCTGTGGAAGATTCTAGAACATCATGGAAGACTTTGTTTTTATCGTGTTTATGAATGATCACCTCCTCGACATTCTGAGCAGTTTTTGCAGACGCTTCCATGAACACGAGACCATGTTCTTTTGCAAACTGTTCTCCTTCTTCAGTGCTGACAGCTCTTCTGTGTGCAAGATCACACTTGTTTCCAATAAGCATCACAGTCATGTTCTCATTTGCATGCTGCCTTGCATCCTCCAACCAGCTAGCAAGGTGATTAAATGTTTCCCTCCTGCATGTTTCATACAATTAAAAACATCTCAAAATAAATAAAAATAAAAAATGGAAATCATTTAAAAAAAAGATATATTATATAACCTGGTGATGTCATAAACCAGAAGTGCACCAGCAGCGCCTCTGTAGTAAGACCTTGTTATAGATCTGAATGATTCTTGACCAGCCTGATTAAGTATAAATAGAAATAAGATTATAAGAAAATGAGTGAATTCGTTATAAAAGAAAAGAAAAGAAAAGAAAAGAAAAGGAAGATTTATTTACAAACCGTGTCCCAGATTTGCAGTTTTACTGGTTTGTTATCGATTGTGATCATTCTGGCTCCAAATTCAACACCAATGGTTAAGTCATGGACTGGTTGAAAACGCTTGTCTGTGAACTGCAGAAGAAGGCATGATTTCCCCACTCCTAAAGATTAATGGAATATAAATTACATTACACATAAAGATGCAAAAAAATGCTATTGTTTTACACATTGTTTGTAAAAGTTACAAGCTCAATAGATAGAGGATTTCCATATGTTTCATATCATTTTATTCATAAAAAACCCTGTCTATATCTAACCAAACATATAGTTTCGATGTTAGGATTTACATTTATTCGATAAACTTCCATTAGAAAGAATGTGTTGGCAATAGATTCAAAAATTTTGAAAATGGGCAATAGATTCAAAAATTTTGAATATTTGAGAAGATATGAATACAATTCTATATTGGTAAGGATCTGAATAACTTAAAATTAAAAAAATAAAATATAAATCTGAATTCTAGCTCGAGTAGGAAATAATCACATGAACAACCGGCATTCCCATTGTTACAGAAAAGAATGCGATCAACACAGATTTGATAATAAATAATCAGAAAACCGAAAAGAATTGAAGAAGTTACCTGTATCTCCAATGATGATGTACTTGAAGAGATAAGCGTAGGACATGATTATTCAGATCGCTCGGATTTTAAAAAATTATCAAATCAAAAGCGCCAGATAAATCGTGGAAACTTGGAGATTAATTATTTCGAGAGAATCAACAATCAATTAATCTAATGAAGAAGACAACTTTTATTAGATTGCGTAATCCTGCATTACGAATTTACGATATTGAATTTCCGATTTGTGCTTCGCTGTCGCGGATGCAGAGACCACCGCCTTAAAATTTTGATAAATATCACCATACGCCAAAAAAAAAAAAAAAAGATGGAAATTTATTAGTACATCTAATTTTACGTGAGAGCGTTTTGGGATCGGTTTTGTTTTAAACCAAAATTGCATAAATAATTAAAAAAAATCGTTTAGATAAAAAAAAACCAGCTTTGGTAAAGAAATGACACAATACGTTATTGATTTTCAATTTGGGATGGAAACGTTGGATGACGCTGACGCCGCTCTTCATAGTGTCTACAGAGTGTTGAATGAAAATCAAGATAACCTCTAAGTCTAACTGCTTATTCCAACTTTCTTTCCTTTTGCCGGCTAGTCTACTCCTTTACCCGCTTGCCCTTTTTCTGTGTTTGCGTGACATCTGTTCTCTTAGTAAGAGGTTGCGCTCCGGACCGTTACACTAAGCTCTTCACCTGCTCGTTCCCCAAAGGCAGTGATAGAGGAAGAAAGACTAGACTTTGAGACCAGATCTCCATTGGCATTTTTGCAATGTCCTCCCGACCCGTGCTCTGAAAAGATCATGCATGAGATGAAATTCGTTTTTCTATTTCAGTAAAGATCGAAAAGAAAGGCCCGTTGTTCTATTTTCATGTTACCTTTTCTTCATCGACAAGTCTCTTGCAATACTTATTGTGAATTTCTCGAATGTCTTTAATTTGACGGATAGATCTCCTTACTTATGAGATCAAGATGAGGTGTCACTCCATTTCTTTGTTGGTAGAATTATTATATAGTCAAACATCAAAGTTATATTTAAGAGATAAATATATTTGGTCTACCACTTAAAGTTCAACTAGACAACCTTTTGGGACAATCTTTTTTGTTTTTGCTATTGTATTTGACCCACTTGCCCATCAGATCAGAGACAATTGTTGTTGGATTAAAGTGCCTAAAGTCCTAACTAAATTGATATAATATTAATGAATAATAATAAAGTTCTTTTTGGATTGTCTTCATAACCAAGAAATTGCTTAGATTGACTTTAAAGAGAGAGAAATATTTTATCAATATATTATATGACTAATATATTAACTAAAAATACGTCTAATTAATTTAGAATTAATTATGGGTTAATTAGAATTAATTCAAAGTTGAAGGACTATAATTATAGTTGTTCAAAAGTTGAGCAGATGACAGGTTCTAGAACCTTCATGTATTGGATAGTTTGGAGGCTCCTCTTGGAGTCTCCTAGAAGCCTTCATAAAGATAATTAAGGAACTAGATAATTACCTTATCTCAAATAGTATTAATTTATGTTCAAATTAGGGTTTTTGAGTGTTTCCTAATCAGCTATAAATACAACCTTATGGTTTGGAATTTCCAGACAATGCTATCAGACATCAAAACTGAAAATTGCCTCCTCTCTCCTAAATCTTCTAGGGTTTTTCTGTTGTGGGTGTGCACCATTAAAGGATTGCACACCATTGAAACTAGTTTTCAAAAGACTATTGGATAATCTAGTTGGATCAATAGGTTTGTTTATAATAACAAATCAGAGGTATGTTCTTATCCTTGTGAATTTCATTTTCTATTAGGGTTAAACGTTTTGTTGTTCAATAGTATGTTGCTTCAATAGAGTTATGACATAGATCAAATTAGGTTGCATGTACCTTAAATAGTTTAAGGTATTTTCCGTATTATTACATATAAAACTCATCAGTGGTATCAAAGTATTAGGTTGTCTAACAATTGAATCTGCATGAGTTGAACTTGAACAATTGAAGGTTAACATAATCGTCATTCTGTTTCGTCGCCACATAGTGGGCTCTTCTACCACGTCGTGGTCCCTTGTCCGATCCACGTTTGTTCTTTACCTTCCAAGACGTGGAGATTTATCTACCATGTCATGGGGGACCTTCTGTTCACCGAATTTTTGAGATAATTAAGATTTTGATTAGTATAATTACATTTAAAGATATTGTTTTAATTGGATAAAATCTGAATATTTAAATTTGGTAATATTGTCTCCTAATATCTTCAATCTTTGAATTATACTCATGATTTAATTGAATTTGATTATTTAATTAATTAACTAAAGATTAATTTTGAAATTATTAATTATTTTAAATGTTTAAAATACACGCTTATAATTATATATATATATATATATACACACACACACACACACTATATGTATAACATGAGTCAGTTGAATCAATAGTAGGTCTCATTCACGAAGCCATACTCTAAGAGGGAGGGGGTGTGGGGTATAAGGAAGCGATCTATAAAATGACTCTCATTGGGTGTCCACTCTCACCCACCGCTCCCTTGTATGGTGGAGGTCGTTAGTCGAATGGGTTCAATAGGACCTAATCACATTAAAAGTATAATGCTCTACAGTAATAGAACATTTTATAAATTGCCCACTCTAGTTACCTTAAGAAAAATGTGAACATGTATGCTAATCCTTGAAAACACACATTAATATTTATGAGTTGTGTCACACCCCAAAACCATGAATGGCAGAAACATTATGGGGCGGAGGACGTCATGTACAATATCACAACAATGCATAGTAGTAAACAAGCAACAACATCATCCATTGCATTAATAATATAATTTCATACATGTGTGTTCTGTCAATGTTATAGACACCAAAAATATACATATCAAAATTAAAGATGAGTCTTGAACGAACTCCATCTTCTCAAAAGCTTGGCACCTGTACCTATCTAGTGGTGACCTGAGAATACAAGTTATTTTGAAAGCGAGTATCAGCTTAATACTAGTGAGATCATAAGTATATTAATGTCTGAGTTTGTATGAAAACGTTTGAAAGTTGTTTCTGTAAGATGTTTTGTACAATGTTTTGTATAATGTTTGAACTCTCCTAGAAAACCCTATGTTTCCTACTAATTGTAGCCTTCTACCAAGGCATCTCGTGTCCGTGTGTATGTCTCTTGTTAGAGTATGTGTGTTTCCCAATTCTGACTATCATTAACCAAAAATATAGTTACTACGTTACCGTGCATCGTGTGAATATTCACGAAGTGAATGTAATGGGAAAATATTACCGTACCGTAGTATTTGTAATAAGTGACTACCGTGGTACTAACTACCTTAACACAAAAAGGTGTTCCAAATAACATGTGATCGACCTGTATCCTGCTACCGACTCTAGTAAAACAACGATGTAAGACGCCGTAAGAAATGACATTTGGCACCCGTAGACTTGCAAGTCCCACTGTAGCGAGCAACAAGGTGTGGGATAGTCAATCCAGTATAGATCTATACGCAAACTCATATGATCTCCAATTAAGGAGATTCGAGATACAAGAACGGTCGTGGCAGAAAGTTCCATGCCCCACTCAATGGTTCACATAACTGCATAAATGTATATGTAATGAATGTGCTAACTAAAAGTGTAATCTTTCTCTGTCTAGCCTGTGTGTACTGAAATGTTCTGCGTGTGCTAGCTGTAATGTATGTTCTCTCTATCTAGCATGTATAGTAATGTACTATGTGTACTAGTTGTAATGTGTGTTATCTCTTTATCTAGCATGTATAGTAATGTACTGTGAGTACTACTCGAACTGACTCATTGTATGTTTCATTGTTCTAGTTATAGTATTAGTATCCTCTTGTGCTACCCCTATGGTAACTTACTAGTGATGTAACTGGTACGTATGAACATGGAAGTATACCCTTGCTACCCAAAGGTACTGAATGAACTGGAAGGACCTTTATGACTATATATGTACACATGATATATAAAATTTTTATTTAAATGACCTTCGGATGGATACCCGATATCCTACCAGACCACATCTCAAGCGCGAAAAGGAAATAAGGCGTTCAGGCCTTCCTAAGCCTTTTAAACATTTCTTATATAAGTATACATACATAGACATGCAATTGATAATAAGTATAAAAGAGTTTAAGTAAAAGTATTTGATAAGTAAAAGAGTTTGTTAAAACAGTTTGAAACAATACGGTTTGATAAACAGTTTGAATAGTAAGAAATCACTGGTTTTGTAGTTATTAATCACATGTGATTGATGTAATAACTATAAGTATTTAACTTGTATTCCCCCCATAAAGAATTTAAAAACATTTAAATCATTGGTTAAGGTATGAACTCACCTGCAGTGAGTGGTACGGATGAACTGAAGATGTAGGATCGCTAGGTGACAAGTGAAGTCTTGAACACACTTTATAACCCTAGTTAACATATAATACCACATATATGTATCCAATTAGTCTTAAAATACTAATTGATAATGTTAAGACATCCTAGAACATAATAAAAACTTTATATAAGTGTTATAAGCCCTAAGGATTGCATCCAAGTTGTTGTGGGACAAGGCTAGTGAGTTTAGGGTTCCAAGGGACCTCATACTTGAGTTTACTCTCCAATAAATATCACACAAGGGGTTTACGGTCGTAAACCCTTGGGTTTACGGCCGTGAACTCCTAGGCTTAGTGTCATTTTGTGTTTTAAAGTCCTAAATGATTTCTATAAGCAATTTGACTTGGTGGTTTAATCCTTGGAAGGGTTTAAGGCATCAAGACTCTCTTTTTAGGAGTTTTCGGCCCCAAGGCCATTTCCTTTTGAGTTTACTGCCGTAAACTCATATGGAAATGGATAGTTTTATGTTTTCAAGTCCCAACCTCATATAGGATAGGTTCTATACATTTATCTAAGGCTAATGAAGGCCTTAGGCACACATTGGTGCCCTTCCTTCATGTTCACGACCCAAGGACCTTTTCCCTTAGAGATTACGACCGTAATCTCTCTTTGGGAGGGGTTTTTGATGTTTTAAGGTCCCTAAATCAACTAGGAATAAATAGAGGCTATTGTCCAAGGCTTTAGGAGTGATTAAAACACTCTTTGGTCATTGATTTTGGAGTTCACGGTCCAAGAACTTCTTGGGCCGTGAACACCTCAACCTTGGTGTTTCTTTGATGTTTTCTTGTCTTAAATACACCTACATGCAAGCCTAAGCTCGTTACTTAACAAGTGGAAGGGACTAGGCATCATATAAGCCTTATATAAGAGTTTACCCCCAAGA